GGCCGAGGCGGGTGGATCACGAGGTCGAGAGATCGAGACCAACCTGGTCAACATGGTGAAACCCCGTCTCTACTAAAAATACAAAAAATTAGCTGGGCATGGTGGTGCGTGCCTGTAATCCCAGCTACTCAGGAGGCTGAGGCAGGAGAATTGCCTGAACCCAGGAGGCGGAGGTTGCGGTGAGCCGAGATCGCGCCATTGCACTCCAGCCTGGGTAACAAGAGCGAAACTCCGTCTCAAAAAAAAAAAAAAAAAAAAAAAAAAGAAAAAAAAAAGAAAAAAGAAATACATTTACAAAGTTGTAGCTACATAGACTGTGATTCCTTGGATGTATCTGGACAAAGTAAATGGAAAACCTGATGAAAAAGATTTACCATTCCAAATGCCATTAAGAACATTAACAGGCTGGGTGCCGTGCACTTTGGGAGGGCAAGGAGGAAAGATCAGCGGAGCCCAGGAGTTTGAGACCAGCCTGGGCAATGTTAAGTAGGATCCCATCTCTACAAAAAATTAAATTAGTGGGGTGTAGTGGCTCACACCTGTAGTGGCAGTTGCTCAGGAGGCTGAGGAGGGAGGATTACTTGAGCTTGAGAGGCTGAGGCTGCAGTGAGCCATGATGGCACCACTGCACTCCAACTTGGGTGAAAGAGTAAGACTCTGTCTCAAAAACAAACAAACAAAAATTCACAATTCACAGGAAGAAGTCAAAATATCAACATTAACAGGAGTTTAAAAGAAGTTGATTCCAAAGAATGGCTGAGGGATTCAAGACTTCAATGGAGGAAGTAACTGCAGATGTGGAAATAGCAAGAGAACTAGAATTAGAACCTGATGATGTGACTGAAGTATTGCAATCTCATAAAACTAACAGACAAGGAATTGCTCCTTATGGATAAGCAAAAAAGTGGCTTCCTAAGATGGAATCTACTCCTAGTGAAGATGCTATAAACACTGATAAAATGACAACAAATGATTTAGAATAAATATGACATAAGCTTACATAAAAGCAGTGGCAGGGTCTGAGGATTGACTCCAGTTCTGAAAGATGTTCTACTGTGGGCAAAATGCTATCAAATAACATCAGATGCTACAAAGAAATCTTTCATGAAAGGAAGAGTCAACTGAAGTTCATCATCGTCTCGTTTTAAGAAATTAGCACAAGCCGGGCGCGGTGGCTCAAGCCTGTAATCCCAGCACTTTGGGAGGCCGAGGCGGGTGGATCACGAGGTCGAGAGATCAAGACCATCCTGGTCAACATGGTGAAACCCCATCTCTACTAAAAAGTGCAAAAAATTAGCTGGGCATGGTGGCATGTGCCTGTAATCCCAGCTACTCAGGAGGCTGAGGCAGGAGAATTGCCTGAACCCAGGAGGCGGAGGTTGCGGTGAGCCGAGATCGCGCCATTGCACTCCAGCCTGGGTAACAAGAGCGAAACTCCGTCTCAAAAAAAAAAAAAATTAGCACAGTCACCCCAACCTTCAGCAACCACCACCCTGATCAGTTGGCAGCCATTAACATCGAAGCAAGACCCTCCACCAGCAAACTTGTTGACTTGTTGAAGATTCAAATGATCATTAGAATTTCTAGCAATAAAGTATTTTCTAATTAAGGCATGTACTTTTTAGACATAATGCTACTACACACTTTAATAGACTATAGTATAGTGTGAACATAGCTTTCCTATGCACTGAGAAACTGATAAATTTGTGTGACTTGCTTTACTGCAATATTTGCTTTATCATGGTGGTCTAGAACCGAATCCTCAGTATCTCCAAGGTATGCCTGTAGTTTATTACATTACTCTCTAACTTTTCTGCATGGTTGAAAAGTCTCTGAGAGAGCCTGAGTAGATGCCTCAATACTTCCAGAAAACAAAGGCGCAAATTCATCAGCTGAGGGCAAAGACATGAGGAAAACTGGACAACTGAGGAAAAGCACTCTGAGATCAACTGTGAGTGGGGTGCAAACTGGGAGCAGTGCCCAGAGCAGACCTGGGGAGGGCAAGTTGCTATGAAAACTTAACAGGAAAGCTCTAGCTTCCCCTGAGCTGGTACAGGAGAAGATGGAGGTCAAGGCCAGGGCAACACTGAAATATGTGGCAGGGAGGATAGGGGTGGGAGGGTAGAGCACAGGGTGGGGATGGCAGGGAGCAAACTGGAGGAACGAGAAGGCCAGGAAGGGCTGACAGCATTTGCAAAGGCAAAAGGGAACTAGAGGGTAGATTTTACATCCAGGAATGAGAAAGAGAAGTGTTACACCATTCCTCATTGCCCCCACCATGCCAGGCCGGTGTTACTGTGCGTATTAAGATAGCACGTTTGCAGCCGGGCGCGGTGGCTCAAGCCTGTAATCCCAGCACTTTGGGAGGCTGAGGCGGGTGGATCACAAGTTCGAGAGATTGAGACCATCCTGGTCAACATGGTGAAACCCCGTCTCTCCTAAAAATACAAAAAAATCAACTGGGCGTGGTGGCACGTGCCTGTAATCCCAGCTACTCAGGAGGCTGAGGCAGGAGAATTGCCTGAACCCAGGAGGCGGAGGTTGCGGTGAGCCGAGATCACGCCATTGCACTCCAGCCTGGGTAATAAGAGTGAAACTCAGTCTCAAAAAAAAAAAAAAAAAAAAAAAAAAAAAAAAAAAGATATCACATTTGCTTTGCAGAGGTTAAGTGATCTGAAGAATGTGGGAGACATTTTTTGGGGTTTCTGCCCAAGTCACTCCTGTACTCTTTCTGCCCCGCCTACTAGTTTACAGGGAGGTGGGCATGGCTGGTACGCGTGGTCCCATTTCTCTGGCCACAACTAATGAGAGCAGAGGTGGACACCTCACCTGAGCTGGGGCATGGTCCCCTCTCGAATAATCTGAATCAGAACAAAGAGATTCTAGCCTCAGACTGAGACAACCTCCTAACAGAAAATTAAACACTTGGAAGTTGTGCAAGGCCACCCTCTATCATGTGGGTGGCGGGGGAAGCTAGTCCAAGGACAGAAAGAAGCAATGACAGAGACAGAGAAGCAACAATGGCACTGGAAGGAGAATACCCTGGCTCCTCATGGCTCCCAATTCTTGATTCCAGGACCTATGAGGCCTTAGGCACCAAAATAGTATTACTTTCTTTTAAAATTTACTTTGGCTTGATATGGTTGCCTTCTTGCAACAGAATCGAATCCTCCCTTAAACCAGGGGCAACCCGGGACAGTATCACAAAGAGAAAATGATTTCTCTTTGTTGCTTTAAGCCTTCACCATCTGCTCTGCTAAAACAGTTCTCACGCTTATTCATCTGTTTGCTTGCTTTCTGAAACATATTGGTGTCTTCTGTGATCTTTTATATACTCTCTCCCTGTTTTCTGCCCTTGTGGGTTTATCACTTTTTATTCTTCTGCTACCACTTCATTAAAGTTTAAGGAGGAAGTGAAGATAAACACATCAATCTACCACTTGTAATTAGTATGGTTTTTTACTTTTGAGAAAGAGTCTCACTCTGTTGCCTAGGTTGGGGTGCAGTGGTATGATTTCAGCTCACTACAATCTCCACTTCCTGGGTGCAAGTGATGCTCCAGCCTCAGCCTCCCAAGTAGCTGGGACTGGAGGTGTGCACCACCATGCCTGGCTAGTTTTTGTATTTTTACTGGAGACAGGGTTTTGCCATGTTGGCCAGGCTGGTCTCGAACTCCTGGCCTCAAGTGATCTGCCCACCAGCACCTTCCAAAGTGCTGGGATTATAGGCATGAGACACCACACCCTGCCCTCATCAATATTTAGGTGTCCCCTGTCACCTCCCACGGGCTGCTCACTTGGCATCACTAACAGAATTCCAATCAAGAGTTGTTTTGGTTCACAAAATAAAGAAATAGAAAGAAAGAAAAGTATAGGCTTTTTGGAGGCAACTGAGCAAGACTGAGAATAAAGAGCAAAGGAGGAAGAACGAAGTTTAAACACCATGCAAATCCATGAGAACAGAGAATATGTAGAATATAAATAATTAGGTTGTGATTAGTCACAGCCAATTAAACCAGGCAAAGGGGAAAGCTTGGTGTGGCCTGAGGGCAAAAAGAGGAGGTAAGAGATACAGAGTACCTTAGTTTTTTGTAATAACCATTAGGTGGCACTGTTGACTCAAAACAGCTTTGTGGCTTTGTGTGTCACCAACGGGTGGGAGGGGAAAAGACAGCAAGCTGTAGGTTGTTCCAACATGAGTCAGTCACAAGGCTGTATCATGGAAAATGGCTTCAAAATTAATGAAGAGTTGCTATTTGACAAGAATGAGGCACTTGGAAAACCCACAGGATATTAGTTGATCCCAAACTCCAGCTATCGTCTAGAGTACTCCAGACCTCCAGTCACAACTTCTAAGGATAAAGCCTAGGAATCCATTTTTAATGAATTTCCCAGTGATTCTGATGCACAATTAAGTTTGGAAACAATTAAACAAGAATACACTCCAAAAGTAATTCTGCATCCTTTTTAAAAAAAAATTGATTTTAAAAGAGATGGGGGTCACAGTATGTTGCTTGGACTGGTCGTGAACTTCTGACTCTAAGCAATCCTCCTGGCTTGGCCTCTCAAAAGAGTTGAGATTACAGGTGACAGCCATTGTGTCAGGCTGGCCATGCTAACTACCCAAATACATTTGAGTAGTCAGGTACAATTATATACGAATAGCTAACAACAGAAAGAATTTGTTCCCTAAATACCAATAATAATTCCTTCAGCTTAGTACTTTCTAAAGGCTTTCTGTTTGTTTTTTAAGGATGGAAATTTATTCTGTTACAAGTACAGTCTTCTTACATAGAAAAATGCCCTGTTTTTCTTTCTTTGTTTTTTAATTAATAGACTTTGGAGCAAGTTTAGGTTTACAATGAAATTGAGCAGATAGTACAGAAAGATCTCATTTGAATACCACAAGCAACTACTGCTGGAATCACTGTTAACATGAAAGTCAGCATGATATTTTCACATGGTGACAGCTCTGTAATCTTTTGAGTTAGCCATACATACCGTTCTTGAACAACTTTGGAGTAAGCCCCAGCATTCAGTGTTCTTCTGATGAAGTCACAGATGTGTGAGCTCTCTCCTGGACATCGAGGGAGTCCAAAAACACCTACAGTAGTAGATGACAAATATTCATTCCTTCAATAATCATGTCTCAAATACCTACTATGCACAAGGCACTGTGAGATATAAAACAAACAGGTCCAAACTCTGATTTCATTCACTTATTCCTCATGAAAATAAAGTGCAGAGAACTAACACCATCACCAGCTTCCTCCTGGTGCTACTACACTCTTTCCTGCCTAAGGACCTTTGCACCTACTCATCCCTGGAGGATGTGCTGTATCACATGGCTGGACTCATTCTCAGCTCTCAGGTCTTAGTCCTGGCAAGTCATATCTGACCACCTTATCTCAAATAGTACCCAGCCCCATTTCCTTCCCTTTCCCCAGTTAGACTTCACCCTGAGCATCCTCATCAATAACATTGAATATCACGAATAGTTCTAAGCATAGATTGGCAATAAGTAGTTTAATCCTCGCAATCGCCCTGTGGAGTAGACATCATTATTTGCCCTATGTCACAGATAGAAAACTGTAAAACTAAATACCTTGTCCAAGGTTAGACAATAAGTGATAAGCCAGGAATCAGACACAGGCAGTCTGGCTCCAGAGCCCCACTCCTTTAAGCACTACGCCCACGAGTGTGTCGGTCAAACAGTATTCTGTTGTTGTTGTTTTTCCAAGAGATTGGGTCTTGCTACGTTGCCCAGACTAAAGTGCAGTAGCTATTCACAGGCACAATTATAGCACACCACAGTACTTCGAACTCCTGGCCTCAAATGATCCTCCACCCTCAGCCTTCCAAGTAGCAGGCACTACAGGTATGCACCACCATGTACCCAGCTATCCTCTACTCTAATATATATATATGTGTGTGTGTATATAGACATATATATATATGTGTGTGTGTGTGTGTGTGTATATATATATGTCTATGTATGTATATATGTGCATATATGTGTGTATATACATATATTTTATGAAGCCAAGGACCTTGTCTGTCTTTCTGGCATACAATAGGTTTTCAATACATATTTGTTAAATGAATAATAAAGCCATTTTTACCAACTTGCTTTTATATAATCCTTATACTTTTTTTAAAAAGTATTTTCCTACCTATTATTTCACTTTATCCTCTGAAAAATTCCCATAAGACAGGCAGGGCCATATTTTGGTTTCCTCCATCTGTGAGTGTAACCTAAGATACCAAATTACTTGCCTATGAGTAACAGATAATTGGGTGAGTCCAGGTTTCCTGATTATACAGACTCATTCTGCTCCCATACTATGCCAGCTAATAACTACACCCATCACAGCAGAGATGAAATTCTATTCTAAAGACACATCTTTCCTCAAAAGTAAGTAATTCTGTCTAAATAGAAAACCTGCTATTTCTCAAAGGGTTTAACTTTATAGACAAAAGAGCTTACACACCATTCTCTGCGTAAACCTAAATTCAAAAGGATATCACCAAGTCAGAGAACAGAAAAAGGTCACTCAATTTTCCTAACTCCTCAAGCACCACTTGCCATGTGGTTAATAACCATCTCACTTCATGTCAATGAAATTGGAGAGAAGTAGATGCCAACCTAGTGATCCAGGCCTCTGGAATCCTAAGTCTCTTCCTATGTCTCCATCAAGGCTGGCTAATTTGTTAAAAGCTAAAGAAACAGGATTTTGCAAGGATGGCTGATGTCATGTGCAAATACAGTTCCTAGATTTTTAAAAATCAGGTGGTCACATGGGTTAGAATAGAGAAAAAAGGAAGCAAAGAGGCTGAAGTTACCTTGGTGTTGTCCCCCAATCGAGATCAGATTGATCATGGGAGGTGAAGGGCATCTCTGAGCCACTGCCCTCCTATGGAATAAAAGGGGGTTTTAGCTCCGACTGTCAGATGGAAATCTATCATCCACAATCAGCTTCACAGATTAAGCTACTCATCCTCTGTGGTTCCCCAAACCCACAGAGTTTCAGGATTTTCCTCTGATATGGGCAAACACAAATCTTTCAACTTTCATATAAAATAAATTAAGTTCCAGCTGGGCGTGGTGGCTCACATCTGTAATCCCAGCACTTTGGGAAGCCAAGGCAGGTGGATCACCTGGGGTAAGGAGTTTGAGATCAGCCTGTCCAACATGGTGAAACCCCATCTCTACTAAAAGTACAAAAAAATTACTGGGTGTGGTGGCAGGCGCCTGTAGTCCCAGCTACTCAGGAGACTGAGGCAGTCTTGAACCCAGAAGGTGGAGGTTGCAGTGAGCCGAGGTCGTGCCACTGCACTCTAGCCAGGGCAACAAGAGCGAAACTCCATCTCAAAAAAAAAAAAAAGAAAGAAAAGGAAAGGAAAGAAAAGAAATTAAGTTCCATAAAGCTTCTTACATGGGAACATTTTAGGAAACTTCCCTTCCAAGATAGGTGAGAATCTTGAAAGAACTGGAGGAGTGAATTCATCTGAATAAAAGAAAAAAAAAATCAACTCCATGTAAATCATACAATATAACCAAAAGGAACTTACAGAAATTGGCCTCCCTGGGAGAATCCCATAGCATTGTAGCCTTGCTGCAATTTAGGATCCTTAGCAAGTATCTGACATACTGTTGTAACTTGGGAATTGACATTCAAGAAGAAGCTGTTCTCCACGTCCTAAAAAAGAAGCCAGAGAAAAGTGACAGGATGGGACTGAAAAAAACCACTGGCATCTTCTCTAAGAGGTAAACTCGTTTAGGTTGGTATCCTCATGTGAGTCACTCAAGGGTGAATGTATCATTGTATGATTTGCTGCTAAAAACACAAAGCAAAGCATTTTAACAGTATATGCTATGACATCAGTCAGCAACCCTTCTAAGAAACAGCTGTGAAGTGCCTTACCTCCATCAGAGTCTTCCCAATCTCTAAAGATAAGACGTAAATTCCAGGTATTTTCTTCTCAACCATTTTTTTAACAGCACCCATGCTTAAGGGATTGCAACAGCTGTCTCCTAGCCAACAAAAAACAATGACGGAAACTCATGAGTCAAAACATTATTATTTATTGTTTAAAAACTATGAGGGCTCAAAGAGCATTATTGAGAATGTGAAGACAATGTACAGAATGGAAGAAAATATTTGCAAAACATTTATCCAATAAGCGCTTAATATCCAGAATATACAAGGAACTTATAACTTATTTACAACTCAACAAAAAGATAACCTAATTTAAAAATGAGAAAAGGACTTAAAAAGGTATTTTTCAAAGAAGATATACAAATGATTAACAACAGGCATGTGAAAAGCATGTGAAATGCAAACCAAAACCACAATGAGATACATTATGCTAAGTGAAATAAGCCAGACTCAAAAGGTCACATAATGCATGATTCCTTTTACATCATAAATAGAGAACAGGCAAATCCACTGAGAGACAGAAAAGTAGGTTAGAGATTATCAAGAAGTAGTAGGAGGGGGAATAGAGAGGGGTTACTTAATGAGTATGAGTGTTTTTCTGGGGCACTGAAAAAGAGAGAAGTTTTAGTTGCACAACATTGCAAATATACAGGCTGGGCGCTGTGGCTCATGCCTGTAATCTCAGTACTTTGGGAGGTCAAGGCAGGCAGATCATGAGGTCAGCAGTTCGAGACCAGTCTGACTGACCAGCGTGGTGAAACCGCATCTCTACTAAAAATACAAAAATTAGCTGGGCGTGGTGGCACATGCCTGTAATCCCAGCTACTCAGGAGGCTGAGGGAGGAGAATCCCTTCAACCCAGGAAGCAGAGGTTACAGTGAGCTGAGATCACTTCACTGTACTCCAGTCTGGGCAACAGTGTGAGAGTTCGTCTCAAAAAAATAAATAAATAAAAATTGCAAATACATTAAACGTCACTGAATTGTACAATTCAAAATGGTAAACTTTATATGAATTTTCACCTCAATTTTAAAAAATATAAGAAAGAACATTTTTTGCTTAGCTCCTGTTCATCAAGTAATAAGCTTCAGAAGTCCATACAGGAGCTGGGTGCCGTCACTTATGTCTATAATCCCAGCACTTTGGGAGGCCAAGGTGGGCAGATCACTTGAAGTCAGGAATTTGAGACCAGCCTGGTCAACATGTTGAGATCCTATCTCTACTAAAAATACAAAAATTAGCCAGGGTGTGGTGGTGCACACCTGTAGTCCCAGCTACTCAGGGGGGCTGAAGCAGGAGAATCGCTTGAACCTGAAAGGTGGAGGTTTCAGTGAGCCGAGATCATGCCACTGCACTCCAGCCTGAGCAACAGAGCAAGGTTCCACCTCAAAAAGAAAAAAAAAAAAAAATCCATATAGGCCAAGCATGGTGGCTCATACCTACAATCCCAGTGCTTTGATATGACAATTGCTTGAGGCCAGGAGTTTGAGACGAGTCTGAGCAACATAACAAGACTCCATCTCAAAAAAAAAACCAAAAAGCCCATACAGGATAATTGAGACACCAAATTTACAAATGAAAAATAAGCAGAGGTACACATTCCCTTCTCCATCACAGGGGATATTACATCATAAATGTAATACCAGATAAACAGATACAAATTTGGGGTAAAGAGATACAAATTTTTCTCTTCAGGGCCAGGACTAGGGTGAGGCCAATGAAGCATCTAGGGCAGCAGTCCTCAACCTTTTTGGCACTAGGGACCGGTTTGGTGGAAAACAATTTTTCAGAACTGTTCCACCTCAGATCATCAGGCATTCATTAGATTCTCATAAGGAGTATGCAACCCAGATCCCTCACATATGCAGTTCACAATAGGATTTGAACTCGTATGAGAATCTAATGCCGCTGACAGGAAGTAGAGCTCAGGGCAGTAAGGCTGGAAGCTCACCTCGTGCTGTGCGGCCCAGTTCCTAACAGATCACAGACCTACCCAGGGAGTCAGGGAGCCCTGCTCTAGGGTGCAAAATTTAAGGAGGCACTCATTCACTCAATCTCAAGTTCATTTAAGTGCTAACACTGAACTTGAGAGTGAGTGCTGCCTTAAATTTGCACTTCAGGAGCCTCCTCACCTAGTTCCAGACTTGTTACTTCTATTTCAAGGAACCAGAACTAGGAACAGGAAGCAAACTGGCTACTGAGTAGGAGAAGTGGACTGAGATCATTTCCCATTTTGAACTTACTCATCCCATTTTCAACCTGCAAGAAAACTTAAGAACCAATTTTAGAAGAAGGAAAGGCTATTGCTTAGAGAATCGTCTATTCCTTTTATTTCTCTCAAAACAATGTTCTCCACGCTGAGCTATAATTGTAGGTTACTTAACTGCCTCTGCCTCCCCTGTAACTGACTGTGAGCTCCGGGAAAGGACAAAGCTCCTATCTTGTGTCCTCTTATAACTCCACTGTAGTAGCCCAAGGGCCTGATGCAGAGCCTTGAAACAGTTTGTCTATATTTGCTGACTTTAATTACTCTGAATATTTTTCTGTAACCCATCCCAATAAAGCTCTCACTCTCACCACTCTTCCAAAACTACTTTTGTCAAGATTATTAATCATCTTTATATTGTTAAAACCAACAATCAGACGTCAGCCTTTATCTTCCTCGACCTATAAACATTTGATACAGTTGATCATGCCCCTCCTCCTGAAACATTTTCTTCACTTGGCTTCAAGGACACTGCACTTTCCAGACTCCCCTTCACTTCACTGGTTGTTCTGTCACAGTCTCCTTTGCTAGTTTCTCATTTCCTCTACCTCCAAATGCAATGGAGTGCCTCAGGGCCCAGTCCTCGGTGTACACTCATTCCCTTCGTGATCTCACCCAGTCCCTAGGCTTTCATTACTAGCTGCATGCCAAAGACTCCCTACTTAAATCTCCAGCCTGTATCTCTGTCCTAGACTCCACACTCCAAATGCCTCTATGACATCTCCTGGATGTCTCATGAGGATCTCAAGTTGAGTAAGCCCCAAAGTAGACTTTTGATCTTTCCCCCGCCCTAAGTCAGCTTGTCCTACAGGATCCCGTCTTGGTAAAATGAAAACTTTACCCTTCCAATTGAACAGGCCAAAACCTGTGGAGTCATCTTTGGGTCCTTTCTTTCTCTCTTATTCCAAGTCTGATCTGTTAGCAAATCCTGTACTTCTACCTTCAAAATCTATTCAAACTTTGACCACTTCTCAACACCTCTATTGTTACTCTACAGTTCCAAGCCATTATCATCTCTTGTTTAAATTATTGCAATAGGCCAGGTACAGTGGCTCAGGCCTGTAATCCCAGCACTGTGGGAGGCCAAGGTGGGCAGATCACGATGTCAGGAGTTGGAGATCACTCTGGTCAACATAGTGAAACCCCGTCTCAACTAAAAATACAAAAACTTAGCTGGGTGTGGTGGTGTGCGCCTGTAATCCCAGCTACTTTGGAGGCTGAGGCAGGAGAATCGCATGAACCCAGGAAGTGGAGGTTGCAGTGAGCCAAGATCATGCCATTGCACTCCAGCCTGGGCAACAGTGTGAGACCCTGTCTCAAAAAAAAAAAAAATAATAATAGTAATTGCAATAGTTACCTAACCTGTCTCCCTGTGACTATGCATGACTCCCTACAATCTATTCTCAATACAGCAACTAAAGTGAATCTTTAAAAATGCATCAGATCAGAGAGAGATCCAAGATGGCTGATCACTAGCAGCTCAGGATTGTAGCTCCCAGTGAAAGTGCAGAGAACAAGAGGACGCCACACTTTCAGACAAATTTTTGTTGCTCACGCACCAGGAGATTCCCAGCTGAGGAGCCCGCGGGTTGCCAGCACGACTCTTATGGCCGGCGAGGTGGTTTTGCCGCTGCCTTGGTACGGCAGTTCTTGGTGCAGAGTCAGAAAAGCACCATCAATCTTAACGCCACTGTTTTGGCCGGCGCAGTGGGTTGCTCAGATTTTAGCGCTGGGAATCAACAAGTTGGACGTCCACTCAGAAACCCAACTATAAAGACTACAGATGGATAAATTTATAACGAAGGGAAGAAACCAGCCTAAAAAGGCTCAGAATAACCAGAATCAGAATGCCTCTCCTGCTACAGGGGATCACAGTTCCTCATCAGCAATGGAACAAGGCCTGATGGAGAACGAGCGTGTTCCATTATCAGAAGCAGGCTTTAAAAGGTGGATGATAAGAAACTTCTGTGAATTAAAAGAACTTGTTCTAACTCAATGCAAAGAACCTAAGAACTTTGAAAAAAGGTTTGACGAAATGTTAACAAGAATACACAATTTAAAGAGGAATATAAGTGAATTAACAGAGCTGAAAAACACAACACGAGAACTTCACGAAGTATGTACAAGTTTTAACAGCCAAATTGATCAAGCAGAAGAAAAGATATCAGAGGTCAAAGACCAACTTAATGAAATAAAACGAGAAGACAAGATTAGAGAAAAAAGGATAAAAAGGAATGAGCAAAGTCTCCAAGAAATATGGGACTATGTGAAAAGACCTAATCTACGTTTGATAGGTGTATCTGAATGTGACGAAGAGAATCAATCCAAGCTGGAAAATACACTTCAGGATATTATTCAGGAAAACTTTCCCAACCTAGCAAGGCAGGACAATATTCAACTCCAGATAATACAGAGAACACCACAAAGATATTCTTCAAGAAGACCAACCTCAAGGCACATAATCGCCAGATTCACCAGGGTTGAAATGAAAGAGAAAATACTGAGGGCAGCCAGAGAGAAAGGTCAGGTTACCCATAAAGGGACGCGTATCAGACTCACAGCAGATCTCTCAGCAGAAACCCTACAAGCCAGGAGACAGTGGGGGCCATATTCAACATCCTTAAAGAAAAGAACTTTCAACCCAGAATTTTACATCCAGACAAAAACTAAGCTTCATAAGCGAAAGAAAAATAAAATATTTTGTGAATAAGCAAGCACTCAGAGATTTCATCACCACCAGGCCTGCTTTACAAGAGCTTCTGAAAGAACCACTACACATAGAAACGAACAACCAGTATCAGCTTTTCTAAAAAATACCAAAAAATAAAGAGCATCAACATAATCAAGAATTTACATCAACTAATGGGCAAAACAGCCAGCTAACATTAAATGCCAGTGTTAAACTCACATATATTATTATTAATTCTAAATTTAAATCGACTGAATTCCCCAATCCAAAGACACAGACAGGCAAAAAAAAAAAAAAAAAAAAAAAAAAAGCCAAGACCCATCGGTATGCTGCATCCAGATCTATCTCACATACAAGGATACACAAAGACTCAAAGGGATGGAGAAAGATTTACCAACCAAATCGAGAGCATAAATAAATAAATAAATAAATAGAAAGCAGGAGTTGCAATGATTGCCGATAAAATAGACTTTAAAGCAACAAAGATCAAAAGAAGCAAAGAAGGATATTACATAATGATAAAAGGATCAATGTAACAAGAAGAGCTAAAGATCCTAAATATATACACACCCAATACAGGAATACCCAGATATATAAGACTTATAAAGAGACTTAGACTCCCACACAATAATACTGGGAGACTTCAACATCAATATTAGACAGATCAATGAGACAGAAAGTTAACAACGATATCCAGGACTTGAACTCAGATCTGGAACAAGTAGACTTAATTAACATTTATAGAACTCTCCACTTTAAATACACAAAATATACACTCTTATCACATCACACTTATTTACAAGTTTAAATGAAATATTGGTTGGCTGCTTGTTAGTTATTTTCTTCCCTCATTTTTTTTATGTCTCTATTATTAAGCACAATTATAGGCATACCCATTTTTAGACTGCATTCTAGCCCGGGAAATAAAGCAACACCCTCATTCTCTCTCCTTCTTTCTCTTCCTCTCCTTCATTCTTTTTTTTTTCTTTTTCTTTCTCTCTCTTTTTTTTTTTTAAAGAAAAAAAAAATGCATCAGATCATGTCACTCATCTGCTCAAAAAGTTCCCCATGACACTCTAGCCAAAGTCCCTGCAGTAGTCTTACTAGGGCCAATAACATCTGTACCTGCCCCTCCCCTCCAACCGAAACTAACTTCTTCCCCTTACTCACTCATTTCCAGCCTTACTGATCTGCATGCAGTTCCCTGAACACACCAGACATACTTCCACATCAGGGCTTTTCCATTTACTGTTCCTCCTACCAGATAGCCAAGTGGCAACTGTCCTCATCCACCTCAGGTGTATACTCAGATGTCACTTTCTCAGTGAATTCTTTCCCAACTTTATCAAAGTGTAAGCCCTCACCCTCCAGTCTTTATCCTAAACCCTGCTATATTTTTCTCCATTGCGCTATCACCTTTTGATATATTATGTTTTACTTCTTAATTTCTTTATAATCTGCTTCTCTCACCGGAGAGTGGGTTCCAAAAGAACAAAGAATATAGTCTGTGTAGTTCATTACTGTATCTTCAGCACCTAGTAGGCACTCTAACTGTGTTAAATGAGTCTTAAGCATCCCAGTCTGAAAATGCGAATCCAAAATCTGTAAGTTTTTCTGCCAGACATGATGCCACAAGTGGAAAATTCCACACCCGACCTCATGTGATGGGTTGCACAAGATTATTTTAAATATTGCATAAAATTAGCTTCCAACTATGAGTATAAGGTGTATATAAAAAATAAATGAATTTCGTGTTCACACTTGGGTTCCACCCCCAAGATATCTTGTTGTATATACGCAAATATTAAAAAAAAAAAAATCTGAAATACTTCCAGTCCCAAGCATTTCAGATACGGGATACTCAATTTGTAAATGAAATGTAGGCACCTAACAAATCTGTTCAGTGTGTGAAGTAATAAATAAAAGGGTAGATGCAACAGTCATGTAGCCAGCCGCAGCTCACCTAGCCTGACCAAGTGCAAGATGCGACATCCTGACACCACTACTGTGAAAATTAATCAAGGACAGCATGTAAAACCTCAACGCCGTGTGAGGCTCTCTCTAAGAGCGCGACAAAGGACGGCTCCTTCCCCTGCTCTCTTTCCAACGCAGAGTAGCCCTTCAAATCCTAAAACGTCGTGCCTGCCTCGTGCTGTGGGTCCAGGTCCTCGTCCTCCACACCCGCATTTTGCAGATGCGAACCCAGCCTAGGAGGAGAGAGAGTCACCAAACCCTTTCAAACTTCTCACTCACCCATCCCATGCCAGATCACTAAGGGCAGCGGCGCCGGCGGGTCCAGATGCTGCAACACCCAAGCAGCGCAGGTCCATGGCAGGAGAGCTACAGCCAAGAGCCACAGACTGCCGGGCGACGCCATCTTCACCGTGTCACATGACCGCGAGCGCGAGACTCCTGGAGCAGCGCTCTGCGCGCCTGGGCGTGGCCCCGCCGATTGCTGACCGCATTCTGCGCATCCCCTACGCATGCCTGCCCTGGAGCTTTCCGTGCGGCAGGACCCCGCCAGACCCCGCTGGCCGAGGGGGGCTCTGCGCTCTCGTAGACCGCCCTCCGCGGTGAATCAATTGCTAACATTTATTCAGAGCTGATCAGATGCCATCAGGCACTGTTCTTACAACTTTTAACTGATTCAATCCTCGTAACAACGCTGTATGCACTTCTCCCTCTCTAACAGGTGAGGACACTGAGGCACTGAGAACTACCACTGACTAAGGTGCCCAAGGTCACAGATAGAGCACATTGATGGGTCCAAAATCGTTGCTCTTCACCACTGCCCTGTACTGCTTTGGAAGAAACATGCTGCGTGGGAGGAAGAAAGGAAGGGGGCACAAGTTCCAGCCAGGACCAATCATGGCAGGGTGTGGGGTTCGTTCTGGATCTTCAAGGAAAGGTAGGATTTCAACAAGCAAAGATGAAATTCAGAAGGACTGAGATGAACTAAGGTAGCCAATAGAAAGATAACTGCATTTTCTAGAAATGTCGGGACTTCAAACGGACGGAAAGCATATGTTGTATGCATAAAAGTGAGGGAAAAACCCATGACCACTTCCTGGTCTAATCTCAGCTGGATTATTTCAAGAGTCTCTCATTAGCAATTTCCCTTTTGCCATTCTCTCCAATCAATTTTATGCTCTATTGCCAGATTAATCTCTCAATCCACCTTCATAATCTGAGTTCCCTGCTCAAGTTGTTTTCAACAAAACATTAAAAAAATTGTTTAAATAGGGAATTTGTAAAGAAATTAGAGGGTTTCCACTATACAATGGAATAATATGAGGCCAGTTTTATAAAAAGTGAGTACAGGGCAGGGCACAGTGGCTCATGCCTGTAATCCCAGCACTTTGGGAGGCTGAGGTGGGCGGATCACCTGAGGTTGGGAGTTTGAGACCAGTCTGACCAACATGGAGAAACCCCATCTCTACTAAAAATACAAAAATCAGCTGGGTATGGTGGTGCATGCCTGTAATCCCAGCTTCTCGGGAGGCTGAGGCAAGAGAATCACTTGAACCAGGAGGTGGAGCTTGCAGTGAGCTGAGATCATGCCATTGCACTCCAGCCTGGGTGACAAGAGTGAAACTACATCTCATACACACAAAAAAAGTGAGTACAGTCTGGGCAACATAGTGAGATCCCATCTCTAAAAAAAATTTTTTTTTTTTTAATTCGCCAGGCATGGTGGTATGTGGCTGTAGTCCTAGCTACTGGGGAGGCAGAGGTGGGAGGATCACTTGAGTCCAAGAATTCGAGGCTACATTGAGCTATGATCTCTCCATTGCACTACCCACTGGGCAACAGAGTGAGACCCTGTCTCTCTCAAAAAAACAAAAGTGAGGGAAATTTACACAAAATGACATGAAAAATGTCCTTAATATATTGTAAAAGAAAAGTTGATTACACACCCATGGGAAACCCTTCTATTCAATGCCGTTGGGACTAGTGGTTAGTTGTTAGCTGAAAAGTCTATTAAAATGCAGAATTGGGTTGGGAGGCCCAGGTGGGTGAATCACCTGAGATCAGGAGTTCAAGACCAGCATAGCCAACCTGATAAAACCACATCTCTACTAAAAATACAGAAAATTAGCTGGGTGTGGTGGCAGGCACCTGTAATTCCAGCTAAGGAGGCCGAGGCAGGAGAATCACTTGAACCCAGAAGGCAAAGGTTGCAGTAAGCCAAGATGGAGCCACTGCACTCCAGTCTGGGCAACAAAAGCAAAACTTCATCTCAAAAAAAAAAAAAAAAAAAAAAGCAGAATCATAAAGCATTAAATGATGCAGAATACAGTTTTCTTTTAAGAAAAATAAGCTTATTGTATAAGCATTTTCTTTTAAGACTTACAAATGTGCTGGGCGCGGTGGCTCACACCTGTAATCCTAGCACTTTGTGAGGCCGAGATGGGTGGATCACCTGAGGTCAGGAGTTCAAGACCAGCCTGGCCATCATGGTGAATGCACATCTTTAAAAAATAAATAAATAAAAGGCCGGGCGCGGTGGCTCACGCCTATAATCCCAGCACTTTGGGAGGCCGAGGCAGGTGGATCACGAGGTCAAGAGATCGAGACTATCCTGGTCAGCATGGTGAAACCCTGTCTCTACTAAAAAAAAATACAAAAATTAGCTGGGCATGGTGGCACGTGCCTGTAGTCCCAGCTACTCGGGAGGCTGAGGCAGGAGAATTGCTTGAACCCAGGAGGCGGAGGTTGCGGTGAGCCGAGATCGTGCCATTGCACTCCAGCCTGGGTAACAACAGCGAAACTCTGTCTCAAAAAAAAAAAAAATAAATAAATTTAAAAAAATGAATAAATAAATAAATAAATAAACAAGAAAAAAAAAGACTTACAAATGTAAATTTTTTACCGATCTTCTGAAGTAGCTTTGGGATTTTTCTGTGAATATAGCCCTCTGAATGAAGTTTCCTGCCTTTAATGAACTATTTATAATTTATTTAAAAGTTTCTTTAAAGTGGAGCAATGACTGAAAGACACTTGTGAAGCAATCTGAATGCAAAATTCTTTTTTTTTTTTTTTGAGACAGAGTCTTGCTCTGTCACCCTGGCTGGAGTGCAGTGGCATGATCTTGGCTCACTACAACCTCTGCCTCCTGGGTTCAAGCAATTCTAGCACCTTAGCCTCCATTGTAGCTGGGATTACAGGCATGCACCACCACACCCGGATAGTTTTTGTATTTTTAGTAGAGACGGGGTTTCACCATGTTGACCAGGCAGGTCTCAAACTCCTGAGCTCAAGTAATCTGCCCCCCTCGGACTCCCAAAGTGCTAGGATTACAAGCATGAGCCACTGCACCAAGCCAAAAATCTTTTTTTTTTTTTTGAGACGAAGTTTCACTCTTGTTACCCAGGCTGGAGTGCCATGGTGCCATCTCGGCTCACCTCAATCTCCGCCTCCTGGGTTCAGGCAATTCTCCTGCCTTAGCCTCCTGAGTAGCTGGGATTACAGGCATGTGCCACCATGCCCAGCTAATTTTTTTGTTGTTTTTTTTTTTTTTTTTAGTAGAGATGGGGTTTCACCACATTGACCAGGTTGGTCTCGATCTCTTGACCTCGTGATCCACCCGCCTTGGCCTCCCAAAGTGCTCGGATTACAGGCGTGAGCCACCGCACCCGGCCAAAAATCTTTTTTTTTTAACTTTTATTTTCGGTTTGGGGTCACATATGCAGGCATGCTATATAGGTAAATTGTGTGTCAAGGAGGTTGGGTGTACATTTTAGTTTGTTACTGGCATAAAGAACATAGTACCCAATAGGTAGCTTTTCAATCCTCTCCCTCCTCCCACTTCCACCCTCAGGTAGGCCCCAGTGTCTGTTCCCTTCTTTGTGTCCATGTGTACTCAGTGTTTAGCTCCCACTTGTAAGTGAGAATATCTGGTATTTGGTTTTCTGTTCCTGCATTAGTTTGCTTAGGATAATGGCCTCCAGCTCCATTTATGTTGCTACAAAGGACTTTATCTTATTTGTTTTTATGGCTGTGTAGTATTCCATGGTGTATACCTACCACATTTTCTTTATCCAGTCTACTGTTGATGGGCACTTAGATTGATTCCATCTCTTTGCTCTTATGAATAGTGCTACGATAACAAAATTCTTTCTTTTTGTGACAGAGTCTTGCTCTATTGCCCAAGTTGGAGTACAGTGACACAATCATAGCTGATTGCAGCCTGGAACTCCTAAGAACAAAGGCTCCTCCCACCTCAGCCTCTCAAAGTGCTGAAATTACAGGTGTGAACCACAGTGTTTGGATGTGAAATTATTCTAGATGGAAGTATTTCCACTTTCAGATTTCTGACCTGAGTTATTTTAATGAATTTTTAGCAACTTGCCTTTAACAAGCCTTTCCAATACATTCAATTTAGTTTTCATAGAAACATCTCTTTTATCTTTATGCTCATATTTCACGTTTTCCAAAATTTAAATTATGATAGCAAATATCACTGATATATTAATAAAGAAATAAAATAAGCCCAAAGGCATTTAGTAGGCAAGTAGCTCAGTTGGCAGGAACAGAACTACCCAAGAGTTCTGGAAAACTACCTTCTAGTCACGTTGGCATGATGTGGGCATAGGTAAGTAGGTAAGTACATTTTAGAACTGGGAGAGTAAGTTAAATAGGGCCTATGAAAATAACTATGTATTTATGTACATACATATATGATGGCTGTACAACTCTATAAATTTACTAAAAATCATTGATTTGTACACATAAAATGAGTGAATTTTATGGCATGTGGAATATGCTTCAATAAAGCTGTTCTTTTTTTAAAAAGATATCTATGTATTTATATATTTCTAAATTATCGCTGAAGGGTCAAAGCATTGTCAAGAAAAAAGAAAAAGTAAATAGGTAAAACGATCTGGAGACTGTTAAAAGTAATATTCTTGAGGGCTATATCACAAGGAACTTTCACTTTTACTTTATATTACTTGTGTATGGTTTGAAGTTTTACAGCAGCCGGGCGCGGTGGCTCAAGCCTGTAATCCCAGCACTTTGGGAGGCCAAGGCGGGTGGATCACGAGGTTGAGAGATCGAGACCATCCTGGTCAACATGGTGAAACCCCGTCTCTACTAAAAATACAAAAAATTAGCTGGGCATGGTGGCGCGTGCCTGTAATCCCAGCTACTCAGGAGGCTGAGGCAGGAGAATTGCTTGAACCCAGGAGGCGGAGGTTGCGGTGAGCCAAGATTGCGCCATTGCACTCCAGCCTGGGTAACAAGAGCGAAACTCGGTCTCAAAAAAAAAAAAAAAAAAAAAAAAAAAAGAAATTTTACAGCAAAGATATACAACTTTTATAATAAAAATGAAAATATACACACATTAAAAATTACTAGACTTCTAGGTTAAGGAAATTGAATAAAGCTATCTCACAGACTCTGTTTTGACCAATATCTAGGAAAGTTTAAAAAGTTAAAATTCTATCCACAG